TTCTACGACTAACATCTCAATAAATTTCATATATAAGGAGAGCTGACTAAAAGGAGCATAAAGGCTAGGCGCAGTGGCTCACACCTGTAATCCCAGCACTTTGGGAGGCCAAGGTGGGCGGATTACCTGAGGTCAGGAGTTCAAGACCAGCCTGACCAACATGGAGAAACCCCATCTCTACTAAAAATACTAAATTAGCCAGGCGTGGTGGTGCATGCCTGTAGTCCCAGCTACTTGAGTGGCTGAGGCATGAGAATCACTTGAGCCAGAAGGCTGAGGTTGTTGTGAGCTGAGATCACGCCATTGCACTCCAGACTGGGCAACAAGAGTGAAACTCTGTCTCAAAAACAAAAATAAAATAAATAAATAAAATGAGAATAAAGCTGCGATTGGTTTCTAAAAAGTGCAATTACTCATTTTAGATAAGAGAAGGATAATCAGTACTTTGTGGGTTGCATGGTGATCTTGTATGTGCCTCACTTTGTGATGGTCTCAGAGTGACCTTGTCTGATGTTGATGTTTTCTGAAATTGTTTTTGTACAATGGGAGAACAATATGGCCTAGCTGTTAGTGCCAGACAAGTTTCTGGATGGCAGGGACTGCTGCTTTTTTTTTTTCCCCTCAGTTCAAAAGTAAAAAAGGGAGAAACTCTGCTCTTCTTATAGAGATTCAGATCTGCATTTCTCTTGATTGCCCACAAGGGACAAACGGAAAAAAAAAAAAATTAATAGCAGAAAGTATGCATGATGTACCTTGGGAAAGGACGGTCCCTACAGATCCCCTAGACTTGGTGGAAGTCTTGGGGCAAACCAAAATGAAATTAAGACTATAAGTCTCAATATATAATGAAAAGCCTTGAGAAGGAACGATCTTGATGTCACAGGAACTTTGTAATAAATCCATTGGGAAATAATTGCTTACATTTCCAAATAAGTAAAGAAATAGATGATAATAGGCACTGGTCCCGTAGGAGTAGGGATTTTGACTCACTTTCTGTAGGAATTTTCTTATATAGAATTGACCTACTATGACCCTCAATTCCCATACACTATCCCCCCGACATATTGATATCTACAACCCTTGTGGGATTGTGAATGAAGACATTTATATTACACTAATGTATATTAAAGGTGCAATTAAAGAAAATTGGATCTATTGAGCACCTGTCCAATGAATCTAATATTTCAAAGACAGAAAGAGAAAAAGGACAACCACTCTCATTCTTGGGCTAACTCAGTTCCACTGGCTCCCAGACAACTAAAATCTTCAGGACAAAACCAAACTTTATGTCTGGTTTGGTCATGGGAGAAACAGTTTAGAAATGTAAGAACATCTCACCCCCACCCCAGCCATGTCCCTGACTAGAGGAAGAAAGTTTCAGCACCTCTGGAGTGGCAGTGATATGTCCCAAGACATCCTCTGTGATTGGAATATAACTGGCTCTTACCACGTATGTTTCACACACTTATGATCCAAACAGAAAAAAAAAAATGTATGCCCAAGTATATTTTACAAATATGCCAAAGCAGAATATGAAAGCTTTCATAACTCTGAATTAGGGCTGGCCACTTGTCAAGAGAAGCAACAAACTCCCTCGTTGCTTCAAAGTTCCACTGTTTTCAATGAAGAGGCAGGCAGGAACTTGCCCTTGGAGATAGACCATGCTATAATTGGGATAAAAGTTATTATAAATGTGCTAAAGTATGAAACTTAATGGGTGAGTGTTTCATAAATACTCTCAAGTTAGTAACTTTGCTTTTTACTCCCACTACAACACAATTTTAGTAATTACGCTTGAGAGATTTAAAGTGAGAAGATATAATTATGACAGTACTTGTGTTATTCTGGGTCCTCCAAGAAGCAAAAGCCAAGAGAGGATCAGATATGCAAGAGATTTATTAAAGGAAAGGCCTGTGAGAGAAAATGTGGAGGGAGCCAGAGGAGGCCGGGAGAGCCACCATTAGACTGCAATGTAGGTTTAACCCTTGGGAAGGAGAGAGCAAAGGAAAGAAAGGCTTCCACTGAAGTACAGGTCTCAAAGAGTTTCTTTCAGGACCATGAGGAGTCCTTGAGCCAAACTCACCCATCAGGAGAGTCCCATGTCTTCCAGGAATGGGCCTGCCTTAGGATCCTCACTACATTTAATCACCAGCCTGGAGAAGCCCTTGGCAGCATGGCCTTGGCGCCAAGGATTCCAGAGCACACCAGCTGGGGCCAGCTGGCAATTTCATACCCACCCCCTGCAGCTGGACATCCGAGAGGAACATTTTCATCGCTACCACAGGACTCATTCTTAAAGCAGCTGTAGACACCTGTTCTGGATCATCTTAAATAGTGACTTAGTAAACCTTCCCAGTGACTCATAACAGTAAATGTCCATAGGTGGATTCATCCATCTCTGTTCCTAAATTAGAGTGTGGCTAATTCTTTCCAGATTCTTAAGGTCCTTAAAAGAAAGAAAATATGGTACCACATTAAGTTAAGCTCGTGACTGAAAATAATTTAAGAAGGAGGCCAGTGACTATTAATACTAGCCCACAATTAGAAGGCACATGTATGAGTTACCCCTGCATTTGGCTTAGTGATAAACTGCAATTACTGCAGCAATTTCTCTCTATTTGACAAAACATGGACTGACGTACCAATGGTAAAAATAATATTTCTGATTTCTGTTTGCTTCTTGTATATGGTGGACAATGAAGTATAATATTGTTTACGTATATTTATTTTGTATAACCCAGAAAGAGTCTGTCATGGAAGCACAAAAGGTATGAGTTAGCCTGCCTGACTTAAGCAAATATAGATCTACCCTTGGAACTGGAGATGACTTCATTGTCCCCTGAATCTCATAAGGGAGAAGTGGATTATCTGGTTAACAAAAAAAAAAAAAAAAAAAAAACAGATTTGGTTAGAAAGGACAATAGGAGTAGTGTAAGGAAAATAGATGTTGAGGAGGCAACCACAGTGTTTACTAAATGATACTTTCGAAAAATCTTCCTCCAAACTGTAGAATGGAATCCAAACTCCCTAGTATGGCAGCCGAAGTTCCTCTAAACCGCGTCCAAACTTCTCTTTAGAGCTAGCACTATGCAAGTTCTGCTAACAAGTTTCAGTCACTATGAATATTTTGTCTTGCTCAAATTAAGCCTTTCACATTCATATCTCCGTGCTTTCAAATATTATACAGTCTCACATTGTAATACCTTCCACTCTTATCTCCCCACAAATATACATTTTTCTAAGCTGAATTTCTGTGTCACCTTCTCTGCACATTCTTCTCTAATCCTGTGATCAGAAATAATTGCTGCTGCTTTTATGTGCCCTTGCACCTAATTTGTAGCCAATTTTGGTATAGTTGTTTTCATGTCTTTTTTCCTCTCTAGATTTACTGACCATAATAGCATTTCTGTCTCCCAGAGTGCCTCACAGAATAAGTCCAGTAAGGAGATGTTGACTTTCACTGAATGGCTTCTGTTTTCTCCCAAGTAAAAGGAAAGATCTGGGGCCTGCACCTTTGCATAAGTAATAACCATTTCGAAGCTTATCCAACCTGCCTTATTTTTGTTGTTGTTGTTGTTCTGTTTTGTTTTATTTTAGACTTCTAGCAGCCTGAACTCATGGTTTTTAGTTTCTGTCTCTAGTGAAAGGAGAAAAAAGGGATGAGGAAGGGGTTTTACTCACCCAACCAGAAACAGAAACTAAGAACCCATGACTGTATTCTCTGTCAGACACCGTTTAGGCAGAACGTAAATGCTGGTCTCTTTCTCTCTTTCTTTTCTTTTCTTTTCCTTTCTTTTCCTTTCCTTTCCTTTCCTTTCCTCTCTCTTTCTCTCTCTCTTTCTCTCTTTCTCTCTCTCCCTCTCTCTTTCTCTCTTTCTTTCTTTTCTCTTTTTGTAATGAGCCGTTGTGTCGATCCTGTGTTGTTAGGTTCCATTCCTCAGGCAGCTCCTGCTCCCAAATGGCAGGTACTTTCTGCTTTCTGACCCTGGAAAATCACCTTTGTTTAAAGCCCTTTCTTCTATTAGAGCAACACCAAAACACTCTCAGGAGTTAATTTAGAACAATAGTGGTACTTTACCATGAGGAGTGAGGTTGATGGCTGGAGTGCAGTGGCATGATCTCTGCCGACTGCAACCTCCGCCTCCCGGGTTCAAGCAATTCTCCTGCCTCAGCCTCCCGAGTAGCTGGGATTACAGGCCTGCGCCACCATGGCCCGGCTAATTTTTGTATTTTTAGGAGACAGGATTTCACCATGTTGGCCAGGCTGGTCTCGAACTCCTGACCTCAGGTGATCCACCCGCCTCAGCCTCCCAAAGTGCTGGGATTACCGGCGTGAGCCCCCGCACCCGGCCTTGAGTCAGCTTTTAACGTGGAACTTTACTGACCCACTTTTTTGATGTCCATCTCCCACTTCAACTTCCAAAGGTCTGTTGTTCCCTGATATGAAGCCTAAGAACTCAATGTACTTCACCACACGCTGGATTTCTAACCTGAATTATTCCAAATTCTGGCAAGTCTTATCCACACTTTCTTTTCTGTGTAAGTTTCTCCTTGCTATTTGTTTCTGAAACCTGAATGTATTTGGTCCTCTGCCAATCAGATTTCCACTAGTCCTCCAAAGAGTCAGTTATTAACTCACTAATTCGACAGATATTTTTGGACGTTCACTGTATCCTTATTTATTTAGCATATATTTAGTTATTTATTAAGAAACTAAAGCCTATTCTATGTCAGAAATGAAAATAGGCCATGAGGACCCAGTGGTGGGCAAAATGCAGACAGACTACTCTTTTTTCCCTCATTCTAGCATAGTCATCACTTTCCTAGGAAAGACGTTCGTAATCTCCAGACTCCACCAAATCCTCCTCCTGACCACACCCTTCCACCTTGATTTTCACCTTCTGACCTCTCTTGTGTAGAAATTCGAGCAACAGCCACTCTATAGCTTTAGCTTAATTTCTCCAGCCATGCAAGGACGAATCTGTGTTAGTGATGCCACAGGCACGTTTCCTTCCCAGCAAGAATATCACTTACTGGGCAGCATTTCTGTGGATACTACCAGAGAAAAATGTCCTCCTAGTTGAGCACCCGCCCCATGGCCATAAGCATCCACCGGGCTCGAAGTGCATGGCCCGCCGCTGACCACTAGGGGGCAGCCCTCCACGCAGAGGCTCGAGCGACGGGGACGACGCAGCGGCCACCGGCTCTGCTGAGCCCACCCCAGAATCAGAAGGAAGGGAGCCTGATTCCACGCGGGGCCTCCCCCGTGGCATACGTTGTTGTTAGGCAACTATTCGCCCCGAATATGGTTTATTGGAGACTTAGGGTTTGCTTTTCTTATCAAGTGCGACAGCAACCTGGCTGGGTCCCCTCTCGCATTCAAGAACCCGCAGAGACTCTCGGGGAGCCAGTTTGAGGCCCCATGCAGGTCAAAGCATCCCTCCGAGAAGGCGGGGTCGCTCACCTGGTAGGTGCCCCGAGAGCCCGCAGCACGGCCCGAGGTGGCGTCCACCGATGGAACGGGAGACTACGGGCGTGGCTCAGGGCGCGGTAACCGCTCTCCAGGCCCGCCTCAGGGACGGCTCCGCCTCACCCCAGCCTGTGCCCCGCCTCCGGGACAGCCCCGTTTCCGAGACTTCCCAACCTCCGAGACGGCTCCGCCCCCAGAACAGCCTCGCCTCCAGGACGGGCCCGCCTACCGTACAACCCGCCTCCGGGACAGCAGGGCTGCACCTTGGAGACAGCTCCGTACCCCGGGACGGCCCCGCCTCCGAGACGGCCCTGCCTCCAGCACTGCCCCCACCTCCGAGACCGCCCCGCCTCCGGGACCGCCCCGCCCCGCCTCCGACACGTCCCCAGCGCACCACTGCAGAGCCAGCCCATCCGTCCCCAGGGATCCGCACTGCTCAGGGGTAAGTTTTCCAATCCGAGCGGGTCCTGGGTGGGGGCGGTGGCTGAGCACCTAGGGCACTGGGAGTAGCCGCAAAGTGCTAGAGGCCCCAGGCCATTCCCGGCATCAGGGGGTGTCCCTCCCTTCTTAGGTCCAGGTCTGATTTCATTTCGTCTTGTTAGTCTGGTGTTATTTGCAATTTGTCTCAAAACACATTTCTCCCTCCTATTTGAACTTGTAAATTATGAATTTGACAAAGATGTGCATGGTGTGTGCGTGCACGAGGACACATGTCCTTGCGGAATGCTGGGTCAGCTTTCCGGGACATATTACTCATCTGAGGTTTCTTTTGTCTGTTTTTGTTTATCCTGTCAAACTGGTTCTGCCTCAGAAGTGAAAGACGTCGCTTGTCTTTTGCAAAGTAGCTAGCAAGATCTTGAGCTTAGGCTTCCAGATCTGTCTCTCCGCTGCTTTTTTTTCCACTGGTAACTTCTAAGGCTGAGATCATGTACCCGCATTCTCAGTGCTCTGCTGAGTATTCGCTCTTTTTTGTGAATTTCTTTTCCGCGATCATTATTAAGAAAAAGGTGGTGGATAGGAAGGGAAGAGGGGAAGAGATGGAATTCTACAGGAAACCCAGGGCATGCTCAGAATGCCAACCTTTCTGAGCTTGGAGAGATTTCGTGGAAGAAAGTAGCAGGGAAAACGTCCAGTAATCACTGGCATGCCAGACCCTGGAGAAGTCAGGCTGAGGCGCTCTGCAAGTTTCACCTTAGAGACAGTGGACGAAATGTAATGTAACGGTTCTTGTTAGAGTTCTTGTAGAGGACGACTGTGGATGAGAATACATCCCGGGGACTAAAACCAGATTGGTTTAGTCTAGAATGATTGCCAACTAAAGGAACTGATGTTTGAGAGCGATGGTGAGAGATTAACAAAATGAGGTGGTTGACTGCATATAGGAACAGGAGGAAGAGAGGAAGGAGGCACGTGTGGCTCAAGGGCTTGGTGTGTGTTTTAGTTTAGATTCTCCTCTAAAGCAAAGCCTTATGCAAGGGCTTACCTGCAGGTGATTTTTTTGCGGTAAGGGAGACCAGAAAGCCCAAATGAGGAAGTGGAGAGAATGAGACAAGGAAAAAGAGACAGCCGGGAGGGGCATGTGGCTGAGGGTCTTCCACGTGGCACTCCGTTCCTTTGGGTGCCTTCCCAGGATCTCTGTGATGGGCGCCTCTGGAAAGCCATTGGACACTTTTCTATGACTCCCCGCTCTACTGGGCGAAGCTCACCCTGGTGTCAACTCACTGCTACTTCAGGGCTGCCCTGTGCATCTGCAGAGGTGAGAAGCCATCTGAACACACAGGAAAGTCCCTCACAGTGGGCTCCTCCGAGATGCACGTAGGGAGGCGACACAGGCAGCCGGGGAACTACTGCAGGACTGCAATCTACAGCACTGTCCTCATCAATCCAGGAAACAAGAAAGGACAGCAAAGGGACAGACACTCTTGTTTATTCCTTGCCCACTATGTGTGTACCAACTCCAGACAAGGCATTTTTAGCCGTATTCTTTGTTTTGTTTTGTTTTGTTTTGTTCTGTTCTATTCTATTCTATTCTATTCTATTCTATTCTATTCTATTCTATTTTTTGAGGCAGAGTCTTGCTCTTTCGCCCAGGCTAGAGTCCAGTGGTGCGATATCGGCTCACTGCAACCTCCATTCCCGCCAGGGTTCAAGAAATTCTCGTGACTCGGCTTCCTGAGTAGCTGGGATTAGAGGCGCACACCACCATACCCAGCTATATTTTGTAGATTTAGTAGAGACGGGTTTTGCCATGTTGGCCAGGCTGGTCTCGAACTCCTGAGCTCAGGTGATCCACCCGCCTCAGCCTCCTAATGTGCTGGGATTACAGGCATAAGCCACCGTGCCTGGCCTATCCGTATTCCTTTAATCTTCAAAAACAATCTTCCCAGGGCCGTATTATTCTCTTTTTGTAGATGGGGAAACTGAGGCTGAAGTCATTTATCCAAGAGGATCTGCTTAAAGGAAAAAATAGGCTCAGTTTTAGGCACAGCAAATTTTAAAAGACCTCCGGAAACTGCAGAATGCTACCAAATAGAGGGAGGCCCTCTCCATTAGGGCAGACTTTATAAATTGGGGGGCACTTTCCAACTTATCAGAGCTGTCAGAAGAAATGCATGTTTTGACAGGTCTATGACCTTTCTGTTCAAAAAGATCAGGGACTGTGTCAACTCAGGCTCACGAACTTAACTACCACCTGGATCTACCAGGCCCGCAGGATCTAGCCCCTCCCTCCCTCCTCCTAGGGTCCTGCTCTTCCCTGCCTCTGGCTCTCAGGCACCCCAAAGTGGTCTCTTTGCTGGAATGCTCTTTGCTCACTGCATTTCACGTTTCAGCTTCAATGCCAGTTTCTCAGAGGCCTTTCCTATCACCCAATCTAAAATAATCTTCCAGTTCCTCCATATCCCATATCATCATGTTTTATTTTCATCATAGTGATTGCTGCATTTTATTTATCTTTCTATCTACCTATTTATTCTTCTTTCTTTCTCCTTCTAAAATATTCAACTCACAAAAAAGGGAAACCTTATCTGTTTTGTTTCTTGCTGTACTCCCAGTGCTAGAACACTGCTTGGCCCACAGTAGAGAATCCAGTAAAATTTGGAGGTGAATGCATTTAGTTGTTTGCTTTTTTCACCTGTTCCTTCATCTGTTCTGACCAGCAGTGCATATCAGTATCTCTTAAATACATGAAAGTCTTTGCTTCCCCCTGCAGCAGCTGATAGAACCATGGCGACCACTGCCGCTGCTGCATTCGAGGCCCTCATGGATGGAGTGACATGCTGGGATGTCCCCAGAGACCCCGTCCCCAGTGAACTCCTTCTTATTGGAGAGGCTGCCTTCCCTGTGATGGTGAATGACAAGGGCCAGGTGCTCATTGCTGCCTCCTCCTACGGCCAAGGCCGCCTCGTGGTTGTGTCCCATGAGGGCTACCTGTTGCATGCGGGCTTGGCTCCATTTCTCCTCAATGCAGTGAGCTGGCTGTGTCCCTGCCCTGGGGCTCCCATGGGAGTGCATCCATCCCTGGCACCTCTAGTAAACATCCTGCAGGATGCTGGGCTTGAGGCACAGGTCAAGCCAGAACCAGGAGAGCCCCTAGGGGTTTACTGCATCAATGCCTACAATGACACCATGACTGCAACACTGATCCAGTTTGTGAAACATGGAGGGGGCTTGTTAATCGGGGGCCAGGCCTGGTACTGGGCCAGCCAGCATGGCCCTGAGAAGGTGCTCTCCAGGTTCCCCGGGAACAAGGTGACAAGTGTGGCCGGAGTGTACTTCACCGACACCTATGGGGACAGAGACCGGTTCAAGGTCTCTAAGAAGGTGCCCAAGATCCCACTCCATGTCAGGTGAGTGTCGGTTCCCCTCTTAGGGAGTCTGACTTAGGGTAAACAATAGAGTTGGTTCCCCTCCTCAACGAGCTTCCATTTTTCAATACAGGTGATTTTCCACCCAGTTTGGAACCACCACAAATCAAAAGCAGGATGATTAAAATGCACCAAGACACAGGAGAGGCTGGGCCCTCACTGCCACTCCCTCCTGTGGCCAAAGCTGAATAGAAAAGCTTGTCTTACCACTCTATCTCCACATCTAGTACATAGAACATAGAGAGTGCTCATCGGGTACCTCTTAAATGCATGAAAGAATAGTTGTTTGTTTGCATGAGCACCTACTGTTGGTCACGCCTCATTCTGGATAATGGGGGTCTAGCAGAGATCGAGGCAGGCAAATCATGCCATCACGAGGTTTGTATTCCAGGGGAGAGATAGGCAATTAAGGAAACTAATATATATGTGCTCTGTCAGGCATTGCTAAGATCCATGAAGGATAATAATATAAGTGGATAGCATGACAACTGGAAGGCTGATGGAGGCTATTTTATTTAAGGTGTTCAGGGAGGTCCTATCAGTCAGGCCAAGTTGGATTGGTCAGGATTTGTTGGCATTGCTAGCAGAAGGGATTTAGTGTGGGGAATTGACTATACCCATGATAGAGGAGCTGAAAATACACACAGGGGCCAGCAAGAAACCCAGAGATCAGCAACAGCAGAACCAACAGAGGGAGATGGTGGTATTACTGCAGTCTGGGTGCTGCGGCCACCTGGTAGAAGCTGGAGCCATGCTATGCCTTCCCAGCAGGAGCTGGAACACAGATGCAAGGTCTGTCTGCTGGGAGCTGGAGTCTCAGAGAAGACACTGTGGTTACCAGAAATACAGCCTGAAGAGAGAAGCAAAACACTTAGCCTCCTTCCCTCTTCCTTCCTGATTTCAGTCTTCTACCTCTGCCTCCCATGGGCTGAACCCACCAGGATCCAGGGAACAGGGGAGCCACAGAAATACAGTTTTCTGCAACACGGAGGCTGACCAAGATGAAAGGGGAATGGAGATGAGTACAAACAAGCCCATGGCTAGCTTGGAAGGCTGGTCTGGTAGGTGACACTTGAAAGGAGACCTCAAGGAAGTGAGGGAATGAACCATGTGGGCATCTGTGAGAGGAAGATTCCAGGCAGAGTGAGGAGCGAGTGTGAAAACCTGGAAGGGAAGCCTGCTTGGTACGTTCCAAGGGAAAGGGAGTGGCCCTTCTGTCATGTCAGAAGGCTCTGCAAAGCCCCGGGGGAGAATAGCTGAGGCAGCTGTTCTGTGACCCTGAGGCAGAGGGCAAGGAGTAGGTACAAGTGAGTGTAGGGGAATTTGTCTTGATCAAACTTGTTTGTTTGAAGTTGTACAGGAGCTGACATTTGAACATCTGCATGCATGATGTTCTATGAATGAGGAACAATAAATGTTAGTCATTTACGGATTGTGTAGGCTCCAGGCTTTCGGTATTATGCCTGCAGTAAATAAAAGCAAGCAGCTTCAGCTTCTTGGAGCTACTCTGTGGCCACTAGAGCCAGGCAGTCACCTAGCTGTTCTTATACTGCATACCTGTGTCTGAGCACTCATT